CCCCCCCCCCCCCCCCCCCCCCCCCCCCCCCCCCCCCCCCCCCCCCCCCCCCCCCCCCCCCCCCCCCAACCCCCCCCCCGCCCCCCCCCCCCCCCCCCCGCCCCCCGCCCCCCACCCCCCCCCCCCCCCCCCCCCCCCCCCCCCCCCCGCCGCGGGCGGCGCGCCCCCCCCCCCTGAGCGTTTGACATCTCTGCTCATTTCTCTCTTTTACAAAGCTATAACTTTTATTTTTAAAGGCAAACTCATTTCCATCTTTTTTTTGTTAATTAAACCGACTGGCATCAATTTTATCTTTTTTCCAGGCTCAAAACTTATTTTTTCCTTTAATAATACAGGATTGTGCTATACTGTAACGAGTACCATACGAGTAGAGCACGAGAAATTGCCGTCTTAGTTTGTTTTCTTTTTCTCCTCTTCCTTAAACCCCTCTGAGCTATGTTGTTTTAAAGATTCCCCATTCAATTCTCTATGAAACCTGTCTGGTATGTGTTTCTACACAAAGTATATTTAAAAAGTTATGTAAGAAATAATCAGCATGATCGACAAACTCGACTTAAAAGAATTTTTTTCCGAGCAAATTTTTGAATTTTACCAATATTCATTTGGATTTTGGACTTTTAACAAAGAAAAATGTGTCAGAATGTAGCTCTAAAAAAAGCTCTATCGACTCACAGTAATTACAACTTTATCACAACAATAGTGCCTATTTCACAAATAGTTTTCTAGTTAGGGATTTTTCTGAAAATGCTGATTTTCGTTCAGCAGTTGCGTGCCTTTTGGTAAATGATTAGAACTCCACGAAAATGCAAGCAATTTAACTCATTCTTAGATCATTTCGAAGAAAAATCATGTGACTACGATATCTACCCTCAAAATGGGTATAAAAATCGACTTTTGGAAATTTTGAAAACATCACTGCTATCCAGATGTAACCTAACACCCATGAGTTATTGCAACCCCGGACCCTAGGAGGTCCGGCACTAATTCTATTAAAAATTTATATTTAAATATAAAACGAATCATTATCACATTTATTACGCTTTGAAAACTAATCACATTGAGAAAAACTAATTTTTTGCAATTCAGAAAGACTTATATATGCACGTAAGGTGCAAATAATGCGAAAAGGGAGCAGAATGTTTTTTTCGTTTTTTCTGCTATAGTTGGATAGAGCTCATCGAGTTACATAGATAAAAGTACACTTGAGACTTTCTGTAGTTATTTTGGGTGAAAATTTTAGCAAAATATTGGTTTTTAAAAAGAGACAAAAATACATGAAATTTTGAGAAATAACCAAAATTTTCATATTTATTCCTAGTCTATCATTCTGAACCTAATTTTTTCTGATTCGGCATGTAAAACTGACTACAGAAAATCGAATTCGACAGTTTCTGTAGTTAAAATGAAGTAAGATTTTGAGAAACCCGAGTACAACCAGACAAGAACCTCTGTTCATCTTGCAAACCTATCAAGTTTTTCTGATTAAGAGATCAAATTTTTTTCTTATCTTCATTCGAATCATCATATCAGTGTGGGAAAAGGTAAGGATTGCTTTTCTGAAATTAGTGTATCTTTATTGAAAAACTGCACCTCCTTTTTGCTTGAATTTTATGTGCCGAATTGGGGGTGGTCAACTTCGGGTAAAAACTTGAATTTTCAGTGAAATCTTGTCGACATGTAACCATATACGTAAAAAACGATGTAGAATTCAATGGACATAAAATTAAGTTTACAAAAGATTTTCAGAGGATCTCTGGAAAACTTTTGTGTAAAACTTAGGGTTTTAATTTGGATTTTTAATGTGAATGTTTCCCCTTATTTGATTGTGTAAAAGCAATGGGGTAGCTAATTAATTAATTGTATTGAAATTTGTAAATACAAGAGGAATATCTCGAAAAAACTACAGCAAAACCTGACAGCACTGTTTACCAACTGTAACTTGTTGCTATTAGGGCTGTGACAGTTACCAGTTACCGTTACCATCGTTCCCCGTTACTAACGGTAACTATAATTGACATAAAACTAATAAGCATCGTTCCTCCTTAGTAGAGGTAATGGTAATTGATATACA